CCAAGAAAAAAAAAGGCACACACAGATTTGCATGGTTCAACTTATAGCCTCGTCCATAGGTGAACAAGGGAGTTGGAGGGAAGCTGGGGCATCTGAGTACTATTACTGGAGAAGATATATGCTTGAAAACCTATTGTCAAGGACGGGCCTAATTTGGAGTCTAGACTTGAGGAGCTGGTCCAACTGGATCAAGGCTCGTTACTGAATGGTCTGATAAGATTCTAGAGACCTACCATGGGCATTAGATCTCAACTATGGAAACCATTGTGAAATAGCCTCCTATCTAAAGGTCTTTGGTGTCTAAGACAATTCCTTGGAATTGGAAAGTTCCAAGTTTCCTACTCACAAAGGGTCAATTGCAACAAAAAACCTTTTCCATGTTTRGTAATGTTGCAAAATCATCACCCTAACCTAAGAGAAAGGTGATCTAAAATCTTAGCTTCAATAGATATCGTCTTAGGGCAGCAAAGAGGTCGAGAGTTCCCAACCAAGAGGACCCATCTCACCCAAGGCACCAAGAGAATTGGGAAATCAATCAGTAGAGGTTTTCTGGCATCGGTAAGAGCTCATAATGGTGGTGACAGATCATCTTGTGGATATAGAGTGAAACATCTAATAGCCACCATCTTGTGGTAGATATCCAATGGTTCAAGACTGTAAAAGAACCACAAAGCTGTAAATGAACATTAGCTAGGAAAATAATATTTAATACTTTGGACAAGACTTTCATTATCTATACTTTCTCACATGTAAGTAGAGTGTTTACAAATTGAGGAAAGTACAACTCTAGTGACAAAGGATCATCATTAAACAGCACAAATGAAAAACGAAACAAAGAACAAGACACRTATGAAACTCTCAAAGGAAAGGCCACTATAACCCAAAGCTTGCAATAGCCAGAACCCTCCCCATAACACCCACTAGTTAAAGACAAAAGCAAAGCAAGGGACATGTAGGACCACGAAAAATACAAAACTCCAAAACACTACAACAGCCCAATCTGACTAATGACCTATAAGACCAAYCCCACAACCAATCACATATGACTTTGAAAAGAATTGCAAAAATATTATTTTCTTCTTTTTTATGTATAACCAAACAGAAGAAAATTGCATTCTTACTTCTCAAACTTCCTCTCAAATAAATCTGGATTTATTCCTTAATGTTTTCCTTTTTTTTCCCTTCTTTTTCTTTTTATTCCCTTTTTGCTTGTTCCAGTTCTTTATGAGCATACAAAGTGTTCAACAACTCAGTTCTGATTTTACAATCAAGTTAATATTTTCCTGGTGACTCCAGGGACAATATTATAAAGACAAAAGAGGCATTTGATGTTTGGAGAAATGTATGAATATTATGACAGAAAGACATTATACCACTGCATCATGATAAATTGCCAACCTAAAATGATTCTTTGCTCTTAATCTTCATTGTTTGTCATTTCTCGGCTCTGATGGGTTTATTATGCACATAATAGCTTTTCCACTCTATTTTCTAACCAGTTCCTTTATCCTCTGAAATTACCAATTCTTTAGCTTCCAGAAATCTGTAAGCTTAATAGAATCTTCACATATACAACTAGGAACAATGGCATGTTAAAAGAAAAATAAGAAAGAAAAAATGTTTGGTATCTACYCATCAATTCGCCAGAAAAGATGAATAATTGGGGAATTGTTTGGTATCTAGCCATCAATTGTCACAGTTTCTGACGAATTAAAAGAATGAGAATCGACCCAATCCGCTTACCAGCTGGAATTTATTGTTGCAGGAGGGGGATCCGGATCTGGGGATGGAATCATCGTCGTGGGAAACGTCGTCGGCTGCCACCACGAGCAAGAGATGTAGAATTGCGAAGATGCGGAGAATAGTTGCAGAGGACGCCATGGCCACCCACAATCGTCTTCTGCAACCAACCTGTCACTTCGAATATAGTCGGTGCCTTCTTCTA